GCAGTTCGCAGTTCTCACTAGTGAGCTCGCAGTCGAAGTCAAAATCCCCGGCGCCTTCACGAACGTCTGGCATTGTCAGAGGGTGTGCCCATGCCCCTGCCAGAGCCCGTGCTCCTGCCTGTCAGCTTCAAAGCCTGCCAGGCTGCCTGTGGGTGGTGAGTTTTTTTTCTCTTGTTCTCTTTTTTTTTGGTTTTCTGTATTTTTTGCTGCGTTCTTTTTTTCATTTCCTTTGTTTGGTGGCCATTGAGGGTAACGTTATAGCTGTGGGTGTAAACTTAAGGGATGGAATCGATATTTGTTTTCTATAACAAGCATCAGCCACCCAACAGACGCCGGCCTAATCTAATGCGCCTCGTGCGCGTCTCAGGGGCACATGACACAGCTCGGCTCTCTGAGGCCTGCTGATGTTTACCGTTGTAGCTGCCACCACCACCAACCTGTCAACCTGAACACCCACCCGCCCTCGGCCATCGACGAGTCGCTTCGCTTCGGTCCTAATCAATATGCGCAAATGATAATTTTTAATGGCTTCCGAACGCGTTTGTTTATCGGCAACATTGCTGATTTAGCCATATTTGATTTTGCGCGCCCAGCGCAAATTWAATTTTAATGCCGTCTTCGACGCCTCAGCAACCAAACGGAAATTTAATTTCCAAGCAACTTTTGACGGCAAACTGCTCTCGCTCGGCTCTCCTTCACTTCAGCTCCACTTCAGAGAGCTCCACTTAATGCCGCCCATATGCGGCAGCTTTACTCTGCYCCGKCTCGCGGTGCCTCTCCATCTCCCTGCACCCTCTCTCYCGCTCTCTTTCTCTCTCTTAGCGTTCTTTGTCTTCGGTCTCTGGCCCGATATTTAAATGCTAATTGCTTTTTAATACGGTAATTTTGGCTGCTCGGCTGCTGTTCGAGGCGGGCTTATTGCGGATTAATTTTACAAGCTAATTTCTTATGTAAATGCCGCATTGCATGTTGTTTTTCCACAGGGCTCGCGGCTCGGCGGGGGCTCTGCCTCCGGCGTTGGGGTTAGGGCCGTGCTTCGACAGGTAGAAATGGTAATTCGGAGGCGTTAGCTGTAATTAGAAGGTAATTTAAGTTATAATAAATATTTCAGTTGCAACTTAAGTTGCGTCTCGCAAGCGCCGGCCGACCTGCCACCTGGATTCTTCCCTAATGATATGCACGGGGGCGTGTGCTACGCCTCAAGATAAAGGCACAAATCGTTGGCCATTGATAACGAAAATGCCCGATTTGTTGCTAAGCACTTAGGCATGGTATTAT